TATTATGGAGCAGTAATAACATTAAAAATTAAATGTCTTGAAATAAAATGAAAATTTTTTTTTCTAAATTTGAAATTTTTTATGAAAATCATCCCCCCACACGCCATATAAAATAGAAAAAGATAGATTTCGCTCCTTGTAACAAATCAATTAAGGCAATAAGCTTCTTTCAACCAATTTGGAACGATTTCTGAGACGGATTAACTCTCCGCTTACGCGTTAAAGGCGCGAAATATATCGCGCGTTAATTGTCCCAAATTGGCCAAAATGGCAATCTTTAAACCCCCATAACTTTACAAAAAATGATCACAGGTGAAATATCTTTTCAAATTTGAGCGCAGGGCAACAGTATCTTTTGAATGATTTAAAAAATTCCGTCAAAAATGGCTAGTTAAAAAGTCGAAATTTGTCTGAAGAAAAAAAAACCCACCCCGAGCACAAATATTCCGTTACTTTCGTACCGAAAGTCGGAACAAAAAACTCATTTTCTTATTAGATTTAATTTTTTCATGTTATTACTGCTCCTTAGACATTAAAAGGCAGTCGGAACATTCAGGGCTTCGCCCTGATACGAGCAGTTTTGTTTCACTTTCTTTTTGAACTAAATTGAAAAAAATAGTTGTAATAAAATAGTCAAATTGGCATCTTTCGATACCTCAAAATTTCACAAAAAACTCGCAGATGAAAAATTTTAAAAAACTAAAGAGTATCAAAGAGTGTCAAATATTGAAGAGTGAACTTTTAAAGAGTATCAAGGAGTTCAGATTGTGCAAAAATCCGCCTGTTTTACGAGTCTAGAGAAAAAACTATTGCGAACCTCAATTTTACTTAGTTTTTTTCCGTATTTCTGTAGCTCGAAAGATTAATTTTTTCTAAACTGGCTTACTTTCTACTCAAGCAAAAAACTAATATTATTCTATTTAATATTCAAGGAATTTTTGCACTGAATACTGTTTTTGCAAAGTTGTTTTGATCGTGGATAGCTTTTTGTCAATTGCACCGGTCATAGTCAGTTTTTTCTGGTTATTTAAGTTTTTCCTAAGTGGTTCTAAGTGGTTTTTTCTAGAAAAATTTCACACAATTGCGATAGTCTGACAAAACGATAGTCGCTCAGAATTCAGTCATTTTTTCTGGTTCTTTCTTTTCTAGGAAAATTTCACAATTGCGATAGTCTGAAAAAAAATTGGTCGCAATACTCTTGACATAAAGTGACAATTTCGGCCCGGAAGAAGCAACGAGCATGAAAATTTTATATGGTTTGAATTTTTGTCGGTTACCTTTGAAATTTTTTTGATCAGCAATTTATAATAAAAATTCCCAAAACCAAAAAAAAAAATTGATGTCTTCCATAAAAAACAATTAGACAAAATTTTTTGAGCAAAAAAATATTCCATTGACTTGATACAAACATATTTTCACTTAAGATTTTTTTTACAAATTTTAGCATGCCATTTTTTGTATTGAAAGCCAGAGACGAGTCTTCATTTATGTTTCAAACTGTAAGTTGATTCCACAGACAAAATTTTCGTGGTTTCCGCGCACAAATACCTGCAACGTAAATTTTGTTCGCACATTAGTTTTGCCGCAGATTTCACAACGAACAATTATAGCAAATTATTTTTGCTTTCACGAGCGTAAGTGATTCTGCAAAATTGTGCTGTATAGTATATGGATAAAAGTAATTCAGCTTATGTGTAATTTATAATGTAGTGAATATAGATTTGTTTATTGTTTTCCCAAAATAATCCTGAATCCGCAAAATTTTATGAAATTGCGCGTTTCTGGAGCAATTTTGAGCAATACAGTGTTTCAGCTTTTTTTTCATAGAACACAAAACTGCAAAGAAGATCAAAACAAACTAGCAATTTTGCGGATTCAGCGATAAATCTGTGTTCGTCCTGTAGCAGAATTCGCTTTCAATTCACAAAATACAAAAGCTGTTCTCTCAATGATTTGGAGTTTAGTCAAAATTGGTCGGTAAAAGGCAAAGACTAGCTCAATTTATACGTATCACTTGTTTCCCAGATTTTACACAAAAATTGGAACCCCAAATTTTGCAATAACAAAGCTCAATATCAAATTTTAAAAAAATAAGAAAAATGTTCAAAGTATTTTTTTTGCAATTGTCTAATGTTCTGTAGTAATATTGCGCCAGCTTAGTCTCTTATCACGAACTTTTCTTTTTTGTTCTAACCTAACTCGCAAATAAAAGCGTTCAATTATTTGGAAATTGCATACCATCTGTTCTCTACCTTATTTGTGGCTACTGTTTAATCTTCTATCTTCCATCTTCAAATAAGCTTCCGTGGATTGATGGTTAGTGAGTGTGACTCTTAATCCCAAAGTAGTCAGCTTCCAATCTCAGACGCGTAGCTGAATGTTTGCTATTTCGAGTCTTAATTGTACTTTTTCTTATTGCTCTTTATAAGCTGCTTTTTGTCGTGTTCTTGCTAGTCCTTGCGAAGCGAATCGTCGCCTCTGTGTTGAAGCCACGCTTTTCTGTTTTGTTCTCGAACGGAGGAACTTTTCATTAGAAGATTAAACTCGAGTAGTGACCTAGATTTTACAATCCTTAGGTTTGAGTGTTTGTTGCAATAGTGTTTTTTTGAATATTTTTTTCCCCTGTATCATTGATTTAAGTGTAACACGTAACCAACAATTCTTATGTTTTTTCTGTAATGAATCGATTCTGACGTTTTTACTTGGTTCCAACCTCGACGACAAATAATTAGATCAGATGAACACACTTAATGTTAACTAAAACAAAAGGAAAAGTTATGGAAAATTTTTTTCGGAAAATTTTGGAAAATTCCCCTGATCAATCCGAGACCAAATCAATTGTTGTGTAACTCATCAAACACCAAAGTCATCTTTACGTGTTTCTGCTCTGACTGTATGTTTGATTAAATCACAAATCCCCCCTTTGATTTAATTCTCAAATTCATTTATGAAAGTCTGTTCAAATTGGTTTTTTATGTTATAAACGACATTAAAAGGTGTCAGCGCGAACAGATGAACAAATTTTTACAACTTTTCTAGTATACAAATTGCTGTAAGAACAATTTTTGAACAGTTTTGTTTTGTAATTTTACGAGGGGGTGGGAAACTGGAAAAAGGCATCACAAACTAGTCGAATTTTTGCTTCAGCAGTACCAACAGAAGGTTTTTGACCACATATACTATCACTTAAATTAATTAGCTATGCTTCATTTTTACTGATAATTGAGAGCTGGTATTTTTGAAACAAAACAGAAAAAGAAACTAAACAGAATTAAAAATTGTTGAAAATCGAAAAGTTTATCAACAACAAAAAACAGTCAACTTCTACTGTAACAAAAGTTAATATACTTAATGAGAAATTTGAAATAAAATTTCATTTTTAACTGAGTCACTTAGAAATTTTGGTTAAAGTTTTTACAGGATTTTTGTACAGCTCAAGCTAAACTAACCAATGTTTTTTTTTCGTCTGTGGAAGCTCAGACTTCGAGTGATTAATTTTTGCTTGATTCTGTTTTTTTGCTGGGTACATTTTTAGATGTTGTATTTTTTGCGCTAGAATTTTTACATTTTTTTTAGCGCTAGGCTCTTGTTTTATTAGATCCTTATACTCATCGATACTCATAGGTTGTTGCCACTTTTGCTTGTATTCAATGCGACCAAAAACGGAAATTTGTGTGTCATAGTTTCTAGATCCAATTTATGTTTTCATTTCTGCCTTTGACAGAGACGTGTTGAAAATTTGGGATTTAATGCTGGAAAATTTTAAGCAGTTTTCTTTATTTTTCCGACTTGCGAAAGAAACTGATTGTTTATGCTTCGTGTCGTTTTTTTTAAGCCAGTTACCGGCGATCAAAATAAAAGTTTTTAACAAAAAATTGTTATGTCCAAATGAAAATATTGGCTCCCAGAAATCCTGAAATCAAATTTAAAAATATGTTTTTACCTCCGATCACTTTTCGCAAAGTTTTGGGAGTTTGAAAATCGCCAATTTTGTTATGCTTTGAACTAATTTATGCGCGCTCAGAAGATTTGATTTTCGAAGAAAGTGAGGAGTATAAATGCACGGGGTGCTTTTTTTATTCGGACCGATTTTAGAAAAGTTGATTATGTATGGGCCTCGATCCGCAAATCATGGGGTGGCCATGCGAGTACGCTTGGACTAGACTAAAATGCGGCTTTGTGGTTTCAATAGTACTTAAATAGTTTGTTTTATTACGCAAATTATTTATGCGTGGCAAATTATCCGCGCTCAAAATTGTCCCAAACTGAATTGAGACAAGCTAATTTGTCTTATTAATTCCATAAACGATCAAATTTTAACGCTTTGATCAGTCTGAAATTTAGTAGCCTTCCGAGGGGGGGGGGGAAGCTGCGACAGCTTCTTTTTAATTATGATTGCCAAGTGTTGCAAAGGGTCCCCCGGGGCCTTTAGGCTCATTATGATTTTTTCGGAAAGTTCGGAAAACCAAATTGGTTTTAAGTTTTTTTTACGAAAAACCGCCTCACCCCTAGAAAAGTTGCTGTTTTTTTGGCGTGCGCTTCCCCGTCAAATTTAGTAATTTTGGCGTCAAAGGCGCCTTAAGAAAATTTTCAGGGTCAGTCAGCCGAAAAAGGACATCGGGTGCTTTCAATCTAGTTTTTTTTTGTTTTTTCAACAAGTCTATGACGTTTTATTTACCTTATAACCATCTCAGGAAAAAAATTTCAATCGGTCAATGGATCACGTGGTCTTTGACACAAACCAACTACTCGCTTGTAAAATACAGCCTTTTGTTGCGTTTGCCGTTTTTATATGCTGGAAGGGGCGTATGGATTCTATCTAAACCTACTTATGATGACAGTGATAAAAAAAACGAGACCTCGGTATTTCATCACAAAGCGAAGCCAGAGTACGTTTTGCCTCAAAATTACATTTTTCTACACTGAATTAAAATAGAAAAAAAATTTCAACTAAAATCTAATATTTAAAACTTGAAAATAACTGAATTTTTACATTACCATTACAAATAAACAACTTCATCTAGGTCAACTGTATTGATATTATTTTCGCTGGTTGCATGTTGTACGTGTTTACTGGGTTTGTACTTCCTCTGTGTCTGTGTTAAGTGGTTGATTGGGTTTGAGTAGAACTGTACAACGTTGCGGCCTTGTGACCCGAAGGAGTAGGCGGCGTCCCGGCACACTCCGCGGACTGTGTGTTTCTCGTGGTGGTTTGCCAGAAAAGCTAGCTGGTGCAGTGAATTGCCGGCTCGTAAAGCGGTTAGACAAACGGCTGCTGAACACACTTCCTTGGGGTCAAACTCTTCTAGCTGTTCTAAGTAGACATCTGAAAGATATCAAAATAAGTACATTCAGAAAAAGGGATCAGTTTAACACCCTCCTAAGCATGTGAGGATTACAACTTATTATTCTCATCTAACTTATTCTAGATTCGCTATAAGTTCGTGAATTTACGGTTCATTAAAATTTTCAGCCAAGAGTTGAGTATTTCAAATGCAGCGCGACATAATTTTGATCAAAACTAGATAGCGTGTTTGGTGATCTTGACTGGGTCTAATTAGAGGGGACAATTTTAACGTTTAATTTCAACGTTTTAATTGATTTGGTAATTCAATTTCTAAGTTATCATTTGCTTCGTCTTAGATTTAGAGAACATTCTTCCTGTACACGTTTTATGGCTCTTTATCTACCTTTTTTTCCATAAATAGTAATATTAAAATCATTTTTTAATCAAGCATAATTGGATAAAATGGATTCTGTCAGCAAAAAAAATGGAATTTTGTCGTGCTTCGAGCTGGAATTTTCAGCAAATCCTAATCGAATATTTTAACAATTTAAAGTTTCTTCAACTCAGAGCAGCTCAGAGCAAAATTTAGACAAGTACTAATGTTGAGGTGCGAGCCAAAAAGACAATTTTTTGAAGAAAACCTTCCAAAAATTCCTAAAACAGTCTTTTTGTGCCGTTTTTTCAAAAAAGGGTTTTCATAGTGATTTAGAGCTCAGAAAATCAATTTGATCAACCTTATAAAAAAAAAGGTCGTTGATCAACCTTAGCTATAATCCGCCTTAGATTTTTTAAATCCGTTCCCTGCCTCGAAAAAATCTTAGATCAGCCCCTGGGGTGGAGGACTTGACTTGGTCGATTCATGTTTAGGGTAGAGTGTCAATTTGACCCGAGAGGAAATTAACGTGGCGATATATTTTTTATACATGATACTATGCTCACTAAAACATTCAACTCTTTTTTCTCGCATCAAGTGAAAAAGCTCGATACCGAATGTTCGATTTATCTCGGGTATTGGGGGTATTGGGTAACTATGACGATAGGAGTTTAAGACAACATGAAACTAAGACGAAAATTGGGCGCTAAAAATTTAAAATGCACTTTTAACATTTGAGAGATTTATTTTTGTCAGTAATACAATTGGAGAGTTGTGCGTAGCGTCGTCTTAAAGTCCCATTAAAAACGGTTGTCGTCTGAATAGTTGTCGTCTCATTTACCACTGAATGACTAATGTTCGATTTATCTCTAGGGTGCCTTCAAACTGCTCAAAAAATGCCACTAAAGCGCATCGCTCGGAACAATCGGACCTAAAGCTCACCTATTAGCTTCTTGCGCACAACTACATCTGAAATGGAGTCGAAATAGTCCAGGAATTTGGAGGCCAAGTCTGGCTTAGAACCTTGGCTCTCGCTCAGCAGCTGTGCAATCTGCCTCCAGATCTCCGGATGAGGAATGTGACCGGCGAATTTGGGAAGCACATCCAGTAACGTGTTTCCGGAGAGACTGGGACTCCATAATTTTGAGGAGAGCGCAACCTCCTAATGAAATATTAGGACCAGGTTAACATCTACCACAAAACGGTTTAGGAAGAAGGAGAAGGGTCCAACTTGGTTATAATTACAACAATTCAGCAAGTTAAATTTGAGTATTTAACGCGCAGAGCAGCGCATTTAATCCTAAGTAGCACTAGTTCTGTAGTTAATCTTTTTGGTTTTACGAAGGGAAGATGTTAAGTTGATACAAACATGGCCATGTCAGCTACTACTTCGTTACTTATAAAATTCATCATTTGATAACCACAACGATCTTGCAAATCTTGCCAGTCTTGCTTATCTTGCTTTTTGTTTCATGCAATATTCTTCCAAGAATTGCCTTTATCTTGCGAGGTTCTTGCAAAGTTTGCGTTTCATTGGCAGAAAATAAGCAAGAAAAGGAAATCGCCTTGAAAAGAGTGACTACCTGCATGATTCGGTCGATGTAGACTTCGACGCTGCCTTGGTATTCTCTAGACAATGTCTGATAGAAAGTGAACACCGACACACTGTTCGTCTTGTCGTCCCGACTCCTCTCCCCCACCAGCCGCTCGGCCGCCAACTCCCACCCCGCTGCCAGCACCCCCGGCTGGTTTGTCAGAGCCGAAAACTTGTGCGTGAAGAGTCGCTGCAGTTGGCGGATCAGACTACCGACAGGTGCCAGAAACTAAACAGCCGAAAATAAACCCAAGAAATGCCGCAGGCGGATTTAGGGGTAAAGATATATGGAATTTGACCACGCGATTTTGCCCTTCGCCACTCACCACTCATCACGAATTTATAAAGGACTACTTCAAAGGCTACGCATATAAGAATTTTATACCTCTTATGAAAAACCGATCTTTTGCAATCGAGGGGAGGGATAATAGTTAAAGAGATCCTGAGTTTGCTTGCTCAAAAAAGTATATTATGTTTTCAAAAAGGAATTTTGTTTTTATGTTTGGCCTTAGTGCTAAAAAGTATTTAACCAATGTTCAGTTTGCTCGACCTTACCATTTCACAAAGAAGAAATTTCTAATCTAAAAAAATCCCAACCCATCCCTCATCTCCAATCCGCCCCTATTGCATCGCATTGGTTGTAGTGCATTACATTGGCAAGGATGCAATTGTTGCTTTCAACCATGGCTCATTTTTTTCAGGTTTTCTGTTAAATGGTAAGCTTAGACATATAAGCTCTTCTAATTACAACAAGACTGCTCGTATCAGCGCGAAGCCCTGAATGTTTGGACTGCCTTTTAAGGTCTATGGAGAAGTAATAACATGAAAAAATTAAATGGAATAAAATAAAAAGAAAAATATATTTTTTTAATTTGAGATTTTTGTGTGAAAATAATCCCCCCAAGCGCCATCTAAAGTACAAAGTGATAAATTATGCTCATAGTAACAAATCAATTACGGCAAACCAGCTTCCTTCAACCAATTTTGGAGCAATTTCTAAGACGGATTAGATCTCCGCTTACGCAACTTTTGAACCCCCATAACATTACAAAAAAATCAAAAGTGAAATATGTTTTCAAAATTAAGCTCAAAAAACAATACCTTGTCTACCTTTCAAGTCTCAAAACTACGTCATTTTGCCAAAAATAATTGTAGGAAATTTTTTTAATTGCGAGTATAAGGCATCATTGAATCTCCACTGATATAAATATTTTATCGGAAGAATTAGTTTAAAATTCCAATTTAATAACTTCTGATAAAAAACTGTCTTGCGCACAAAATTACAATTTTGCTTCAAAAAATCAATTTAAAAATAATTAAATTTTGATTCTGAGATTCAAGTGCTCGATTGAATAAAAATTAATAACTTTGGACTACTCTCAGCTGAACTAGTTTTTGACTGACACGGCTAAATTAAGAGTGTTTTGTGCGCAAAAAATTGATTGATTTGCTGAGTGTTCAAATCAATGGAGATCACATTTTGGACACTGAAATTATCGATTGTGCTCGACCTTTGTTTATAAATCAAGTTTTCTGATTCAAACAGCTCGAAACTTTTCCGTTTTTTTGAGCCAATTCAAGAGACAAAAATGATTTATTAGTGCTGTTGTTAGTCTTTTGAAAAAATTTATTAAAAAACCATATTGCATCTCAAGTTAAAAGATTTCTGCATTCCAACATCAATACAAAACATCTAGTTCTAAAAAAGCTTAGGTATATTTGATCTTAGTTACGATGTTTTTTTCGCCGCGGTAACCTTTCATAGGTCTCAATCTCTGGAAATCGCAATTTGTACTACTTTTTTTAGAAAAATAATTTTTTTTAGCACTAAAAAGCCTCTTTTAACGGACTTTTTCAGCCTGAAAAAGCGTATACTTTTGTTGAATGCAATTTTATTCAGTTTTCACGACAACTATTATGTATATATATAAATTGTGGGGGTTCGGAAAATGATTTCAAAGGTTGGCCCAGTTAACTGACCCATAAAATGCGTAATAAAATGCATCAATCTGTCTTTAAGATTGCGCAAGGGAAAAGATAATAAAAAAAACGGACGAAAAAATTTAAGATTGAAAAATTACTTGCAATAGCTGAACGATACTCAGAATAATCAAAGGGTCACCCGCGAACTTTTTGAGGTAACTAAAACAAATAAGATTCATTCGGCGAGGGGCTAGGTTGATCCAATCCACCGCAAAAATTCTTTGCAAAAAATGGATTTGAATGCGATAGCAGCATACTGGCCAATATTTTACTGACCATCTTCAGTTCAATCTCATATAATGTTAATTCTTTTAGAAGTAAAAGCTATCTAGGAAGATTATGGAATTTCAAACTGAAATTTGTTATATACTAACACGTTTCTCTTCCTTCGCTTGATTTTTCAAAAAAGTTTCGTCTATGCTAATTTTAATATGATGAAGATAGTGATATGAAACACTGTCCGTTAATCACTTTTCAAAACTGAGATAGTTTTCAAATTTAAAATGATTAAAACGGCTCCTCATTTGGTTTAATTAAAATAAACCAACCCATGTATAGCAACAGCATAGTCTTTTTTAATAAAGTTGAATGTTCCGACTGCTTTTCAAGGTCTATGGAGCAGTAATAACATGAGAAAATTAAATGAACTAAGAATGATTTTTTTTAATTTGAGTTTTTTTTGTTAAAAATACTCCCCCTCCCCCACGCCATACAAAGTACAGAGTGATAAGTTTTGCTCCTATTAACAAATCAACGGCAAATGAACTTCTTTCAAACATTTTGGAACGTTTTCTAAGTCAATTTTAAGCTCAAGACTACAATATTTTTTGAATGATATAAAGAAAACCCGACAAAAATGGCTAGTTGAAAAGTCGAAATTTGACTGACGAAAAAAACCACCCGAGCACAAATATTCCGTTACTTTTGTTTCGAAAGTCGGAACAACAAATCTGTATTGTAGTTTTTGATGAGAAAAACAGATGAAGCATTCAAAAAATGTTCAAACCGCACGCTATGTATAATGCAAAGTAACAATTTTCTGTCTAGTTTTGTACCACTTAGACCGAGTAGCTTGCCTCATTTCAAATTGGCATGATTTTTAGCAGGGTTAATCCGCGGCTTTGAGTTAAAAATAACAACAGCCTGTAGCGCCATTTGAAAATTTTTTTTTTGGTTAAATAATTGAAAAAAATATAGAGAAAAAAAATCTTTTTACTTCATCCTTTCTTCATTTTATCCCCCTTCCATACGCTATGTAAAATATTAAGGGTGAGTTTAACGTCTCTTATTGTAATAAAACAATTAAATTGCTGGCCACAATTCAGTTTGGATCGCATTAATTTGTTTCTTACGTGTGTTGTAGGTACACAATATACCGCACTTTAAATATCCCAAATTAGCCAAATTAGCAATTTTCAAACCCACATAACTTTACAAAAAATAATCACAAGTAAAATACATTTTTTAAAATTTTGAGCTCAAGACAACAATATCTTTTAGGTGTAATAGAAACTTTCCGCAAAAAACGCTGGGTTAACGAGACAAAAACTGACTGACGAGGCAAAAAACTGAACAAAGAAAAAACCATATCAAGCATAATTATTCCGCTTCTTCGAAAGTCGGAACAATTAGCTTGCAGCAATTCAATTTGGAACAATAATGCAGAGCGGGATAATTCGTTCCGCGTAAATACTTCACGTAACACTCACAGCATCAAAATATAAAACAAGACTGCTCGTGTCAAGGCAGAGTCCTGAATGTTCCGACTGCCTTTTAAGGTCTATGGAGCAGTAGTAACATGAAAAAATGAAATGTAATAAAATAAAATGAATCCCATATGAAGTACAAAGTGATAGATTTCGCTCCTATTAACAAATCAATTATGACAAATAAGCTTCCTTCAACCAATTTGGAACGATTTCTCAGACGGATTAAACCTCCGCTTACACGTTAATAGCGCGAAATATATCGCGCGTTAATTGTCCCAAATTGGCGAAAATGGCAACCTTTAAACCCATATAACTTTACAAAAATGATCACAGGTAAAATATCTATCCAAATTTCAGCTCAGGACAACAATACTTTTTGAATGATATTGAAATATTCCGTCAAAAATGGCTAGTTAAAAAGTCAAAATTTGTCTGAAAAAAAAACCACCCGAGCACAAATATTCATTTTTTTTGTTACAAAAGTCGGAACAGTGAGCAGTTTAGATAGAATCGTTTCAGTGCGCACAGAAAATTTAGCGTACATAGTCTCATATATATAAATTTTTCATTTTTGAAGATACTCATATATATTCTTCACTTTCATCGAAAATCGGAACAAAAAAATCTCAAGATCCCAAAAAAATGTTTTTGCTATTTGAGTTCACCACAGGGATACCTTTCAGATGGTATAAAAAATTGTTTTCATGATAGATTGTTTTTTTTTTTCGTGGCAATTGTTTTTTATTGAGACCAAATTTGATATTCTGAGTTCTTTTTTTAAAAAATATTTCAACTGACAGTACTTTTTTATTCGTGAAGTTATTGCGGCGAAGTAGTTTTGAAGTAGTTTTTGAGAAAATATCTGAAGCAGTTTTCGGATTTTTTATCTTTTTCAATTGACTCTCCAGTCAACTTAGTTTTTTAGTTTCCTGAGAATGACAGCTAATTCGCATTAGGAGGAGAGAAAACGAGGAATCAAATCAACTAAACAATTTTAAATTAATTCAAACTAACTTGTGTAGGTTTCTCAACGTTATCCCAGAAGTTTTTAAGGCTCTCATTGTCACACAGTTCGGGGATCAACTCTTCCAATCTTGAGTCTTCAGCTGAAGAGGAAATCTGTTGGTGAACAGGAGAAGACGATGAAGACAGGTACTGTTGGCCACAGCAGGTGTGAAGGAACTTGAGAATCTTCTCGAACACTAGTCCCTGGAAACCCAGTTTCTGCAGAGCCCTATTCTTTTTCTTCTCCAGGGGTGGTTGCATGTCTAGGTACTTGAATTGAGGCAAGCAGAGGTAGAGGTGTGTAAGTAGAAGAAGGTCTGTCAACACAGTCATAAACTTCAATTCAAGACCATTTATGCACAATTTTCAACTAAGTTAGACTCCAGAATTAGGCAGAAAATAGGTGAATGACACCAACATACAAGTGGGATTTATTTACGCGCGGTTTAAATTACAGGACTCAAAAAACTTCGCTGATATTTTAATCATATCAAGGAATGGATATAAAGCGAGATATATTCGTGAAAAAGCCCAAATCGCAAACTTTAAATCTTTAAAGTTTCTCAGGAAAAATTCGAACCTGATGGATTTGATGATAAAGTTATTAAAAAAATATGATCGATTATCCCTGAGATTATAACAGTTTTTATCCTATTCAAAAAAAAAACTTAGCTTCAATTTCCTTCTGGTTTTAAAACATTCAGCAGGGGCATATTTAGGTTTTTCTCGAAGGGGAATTTCGGATTTTCAAAAAAATTTCAAAAATTTTGTCGACCTTTTTTTTTAAAAGTAGGTCAAAAAGCAGCTTTTGGGCACTTTTTTGGAAAATTTTGACCAGTAGAAAATTGCGTTTTTTCGGCGCGCACTCCTCTATATTGGCGCAACCCTGACGACCCCTGATATTCAGTTGTTTTTAAAGCCGATTTTTTTTAATGCAGATTGCCGTACTTCTCACAAAAAATTTCAAATAAAAATAAGAAATGTTATCGTAAATGATATAAGAAAAACATATAACAGCGAAGGATAGCCAGTTGCTGTACAAATAGCGCAGAATACTCCGACCTCATTCATTTAAGACAATTACAAAAGAAAATGTTATGCTTACTTTTTAAATTAATGTGTATTCGTGGTGAGACGAGAGAGCTATAGATGTAGAAAGTTAGTGAATCAAGCAAACAATTTAAAACAATTAAAAAATAACTCAAAAACTTCTACTTTTTTGCATAAAAACTTCTTAAACAAAATTTTTTTTCGCAAATTATAAGCTCTAGGAACTTTTTAAACAATTTCTTCTACTAGTGAAATCCAATTTTTTATCCTGAATAACTAATTTTTCTTTAAACAAATCTTAAATACGTTTTTTTAAAAAAAATTTCTAGTTTAAACAGTCACTTATAATATTTTAAAAATTGATCGATCGTTTTACTCGCTCTAAATTAGACTAAAACCAAACAAATTAAGTAAAAGAGGAGACAACTAGCAATATAATAAACTCGATTGCAGAAAAATTGTCCTAAAATTTAAAAATAATTAATTATAATATATTATGATTAACTAAAGTGAATTTTGGGGTTATCAAAAATCAAAATTAAAATTCAAGAGTGGTTCTAAGATTTTCACCTGCAATTCCTTGTCGCAGTTTTTAAAATCGATCAAACTGATTTTTCAAGCTCTCCCACCAAACTATAAAGCTATAAAAACCCTAATTTGACAAATAATTTTATGACATTTTTTAGGCACTTTTTGGAGGGTTTTGTGCTGAAAATCAGGTTTTGTAGCGCTCGATCTGCCTTAAAATTTTTTTTTTTGGCGGCAAATGCAATATGAGCGTAGTCAGTTAGTCAAAATAGTACTAAGAGTGATCGATTAGTGTGATTTGTTCGCAAAATCAGAGGGTCAAATCACTGAGGCAGGAGAGTGAGCTTCGAACGCTAATTTGCCAAAAGAATGAAAAAGTTTTCATAATACTTTTTCTGAACAATTCTCGAATGTTTTAAGCTAGAACCTTGCCATTCTCATGACAAAATCTTGATAATTCTGACGGAGGTTTCTAGTTGTATTTCGTTTGTAAGTGACTAATTTCTCTCATCACGGAGTTTTGTGTGATTATTTCCACAAAATCAGTTTTTTTACGTATACAATTAGGAAGTAATATCAAATTGGAATAAAAAAATTTTTCGGGTTAACAACTTCGGGTTAACAACTTAAACAGAATTACTTGGATCATTTGGTATCTTGCCAAGGTCCTGGATTTGAATCTCACCAGGACCTGTTTTTTTTCTGACGGGAATTATTCCATTTCAAAAAGTTTTGTGTTTTTTCGACTTAGTTACCACATCTTGGAATTATTTTTCTGTGCTAAATTTTTACTGTAGTTGTTGTTTTAAGTGCTTTAGTTCACACCTAAAACTTGTGTTTTTATTAGCCTTAGTTTCTTACATTTTCCTTTTTTGTTTGTTTTTAGCTTAAAAACTTTCTTTGGCGTAAATGCTTCCAGCTGACAGTTTATCGGCTTAGTTGCCCAACTGTGGGTAGTTTCGTGGAAACAAATTTTTTTCTTCCCTTCTCGATCACACATAAAGCTTAAAATCTTAGAATAGAATTTAGAATTCAAAATTTTTTATGACACCAGTTTTTATTTTAATTTTCCGGGAATTTACTCAAGTTATGTCAACTCTATTGCCGCTTGATAATTGCTTTCAAATTTCCAATAAAATACTTTAATTGTTCTGCTGAAATTGTTTCCCACAAAAAACATTATTCGAGGCAAATACTTTGAATCTTTCTAACTGTGGTCAGATGCGGATCTAGGATTTTCTCGAGGGGAGATTTTCAAACAGTTTCGGAAATTCTGTCGTCAATTTTTTTATGTCGACCAAAATGATTTTCAGAGCACTCCCAAATCACTATAGAGACCGCATTCTGAACAAATTTTGACCCCGCATGCAAATTTTTGAAAAGACATACCAAAAAAGAAAAAACTTTGACATAAAAAATGCGTCAAAATTTTCCTTTTTTGGCGACCGCGTCAAATTGCGTCAAACTTTCCTTTAAACCTTTGGCGAACTTTGCACTTGCCATACCGCATAAAAATAACAATGCAAGCTAGCAGACAAGAAATCAAAGGATAGCCACTTAGTCCAAGAAAAGAATAATTTCAAAGAACCACAAATTGCGGTTCTTTGAAATTATTCCATTTTTGAACTAAGTGGCTATCTTTTGATTTCTTGTCTGCTAGCTTGCATTGTTATTTTTATGCGGTATAGCGAGTGCAAAGTTCGTTTAAATACATCATTCGCATGGCTTCGAGGGATGTATCTTAATAAAATTTTCTAATTTGTGATCAAAATTTCAAAACAAAATCATCGGTGCTGACAAAAAAATTTTGCATTCCTAAAACGACCGAGTAAAGCTAATAGACCGAAAACCAAAAAAAAAAAGGCAAAAATTGTTTGATGCGATTATAAGCTGTTGAAACTAGCTCAAAAAATTTAGTTATCCCCCACCCCTCCCCCCTCTTCCCCTGTAAAATTTTTGGGTTTTTCATTTTTTGAAGATAAAGGTGGTCAAAACGTGTTTTACAACCAGCATGACCGTTTTCTTGTAGTTAATATTCGGTGCAATTTCTTTTATATATTTCAATTCGGTGCAATTTCTTCAAGTGCACCGAATTGAAATATATAACTTTTATGTTATATATTTCAAATATATAACTTGAAATATATAACTTTTATATTTCCGAATTGAAATATATAACTTTTACTATAATATAAACCCCCATAACTTCACAAAAAATGATAACAGGTGAAATATCATTTCAAATTTAAGCTTGGAACAACACTATTTTTTGAAATTCATAAAAGTGCAATTCGGTGCAATTCGTTGCAATTTCTTCAAAAAATAGTGTTGTTCCAAGCTTAAATTTGAAATGATATTTCACCTGTTATCATTTTTTGTGAAGTTATGGGGGTTTAAAGATTGCCGTTTTGGCCAATTTGGAATATTTAACGCGCGATACATTTCAACGCGATTTTAGTAAATCTTAGAAATAGTTCTATATTGGTTAAAGGAAATTTTTTGCAACAATTGATTTGTTACTAGGAGCAAAATGCTTCACTTTGTACTTTATATGGCCTGTTGGGCGATGATTTTCACAAAAAGTCTCAAATTTAAGAAATTTTACGTTCATTTTTATTTTCATGCAATTACTGCATCATAGAATTTAAAAGGCAGACGGATCATTCAGGGCTCTGCCCTGATACGAGCAGTCTTTTTTCATTTATCCATCAAATATAACGAAACTGAAAACTTCAAAAACGTTAGTTTTTCTCAAAATTGATTAGAATAGATAAAAAATTGCAGTAAAAGCAATTAGAATTTTATCAGAATTAATGTTGTAATTTTTGTTTTGCGGAATTTAGACAAATTTTCCTCAGAAACGGGTCTCTGTTATCACATACAAATGAGGATTTAAAAGCCAAAAACTTCTCATGCTCCGGTGTTGGCAATGAGTGCGCGAACTATTACCTATGCTCCTGTTTCCGGAGACAGAGCTGGAGAACTTTCTGGAGGAGTCGTTTCCCCCTCCAGACGAGACAGAGCTGGAGTCGTCTGCAGATGCTGTCGTGTGGTTCTGTTTCAGTCGGAGGTATTCGGGACTTGTGAAGTGGATGTTCGAGAAACGCTCGTTATCCGCAAAAAGAGTCAGCACCAAACGACGCACCTGAATATACATTCTCTAATTTAATCTATTGAGTTGCAAAATTTTTTAAAATCTCTTAGAATATTGGCAAGAACCTTTTGTCAAAAATGTTTGTGGAGCAGGCAAGTTGTACATAAAATTGACTAAATATGGTGTTCACAAGCGCTAATTGAAAATGAGTTTTCTCTTTCTTTACTTCATAGCGCAAACCTGTTTTTCGAAGTTGTGTAGTGGTGCGAAGTATCCATAGATCTGGTCCACACACAAGGCCACATTATGGAGAGCCACAGTGAGTCTATTGGAGGGTATGGCCTCGTTGGAATGGCTCGAGTGCTCACTTCTGAATGAACCCTGATGACCCCCCGACATGCTACCACCGTCTCCCCCTGCACCTGCGCCTCCGTGCCACCTCAGGGCTGGACTAAATCCACCGCCAACAGAACCTCCCCCTGTCTCAAATCGCAAGTGATCGGAACCCCCTCCGAAACTACCCGATTGAGAGATGCTTCCCGACTGACTCAAACTTGTCACCTGAAATCAAGAGCTGTCAATTGAATTGATCTTGACTTTTTGGAAAACCATTTTTTTGAAAGAATTGAGAGTATTGCTTATGAAATTTGGCTCAAATTACTTGTAAGTGAAATTTTTAAAAAATTTTTACCTTTCATCATTTCGTTGAAAAACCTTAACAATGTTAGGATCCAGGCAATTTAAGATAGTACGCTGCTCTAATTCATTTCAGCTAAAAACTACTTTATAGCTATATACAAAATGCTCGATTGGACTGAATTTAGAGCAAAGCTAGCATCCCCGTCAATAATCGCTTTGTGAGGGAGGATAACATTTTGATCCGAAAAGTGTTCCGCGAAACTCAATGAGTGCTTACTAACATCGTCTTCCGTGTGAGGGGGGTTATTGATTAGTTGGTCGACTGTGGCAGCGGAGGAGGGTGGGATGAAATCCTCGTCTTCCAGAGACCAGCACCACTTCACTGAGAACCTCAGCTTCAGAGCACCACTGCGAGTTATAGCTACACACAGAGCTAATCAAATTAACATAATTCGCAAGCCCTTCAAAAAAGAAATCACTAGCACGCTACTTTGTACACTTTTCAGGGAACCTTGTAAACATCTTCCATTTTATCATTTATTTGGATTCCAAATGATTTCACTGCGTGAAAATTGGCTGAAAAACTCAAATTGGACACCAAGTTGAATAATGTCCTTCCTAAATTGCTTGGGTAGGGGAGGGAAACATTGGCTCACAAAAATGCTAGCAAATTGAACAAAAATGAACCAGGTCACTAACATGCCTCTCCATTAACCAGTTAGGAATTCAATTGCCCGGATTGCAGCCCTGACAACACCAAGACATTAATCCATAATTCTTTTTTGGCGGACCATCCCTAAACCTTCGGCACCAATTTTCACCGATTTCTGGGGAGGAGCACAAAACAGAAAATGCAATTTTGTGATCGAAGCTTTCCAGTGCCTTTATATTTCAGTTAGTTTTCCAAAAAAGTCGATTAATTTTCTATTCAAAAAAATTCTAGATCCGTGCTTGGTACTTACGATTCTACTCAAGATACACAACTGAAATTTAAACAGCAATTAACAAGATTATTTAAGGTATTTAGCGCTTTTTTGAGAATTTTCAGAGCTTTTTCTGCTTTCTAGTGCTATTTTTGCGATTTATCAGTCCTGTTACAGTATTGCTTCAATGCTGTTACAGTGCTAATTTATCTCTGTAGCAATGCTGTTACAGTGCTGATTTATCTCTACAACAGTGTTGTTTTTTATCGCTGCTTTATCTCTGATCAGTACTATTTGGTTTGTCAGAGTATTGTTTTTTTACTGTAACAGTACTGCAACAGTAGACCTGATTTTCAATGCAAAATCAATCCTGGTTGTATCAAAAACAAAAAAAGTTGAACTTTTATTTTAATTGAAAATAAGAATAAGTTTTGACCTAACTTGGAAATTATCAAACCACCTTGATTTATTACAAAATTATGGCTGATAATTTTTTTTTTCAAATTTGAGCTGTTCAATACATTGATATGCTATAAGCAAAAGTCGTCGAGAACGGCAATTTTAAAAGTTGAAAATTTTCGGAAGACAAAAACACCTTGAACACAAATATTCCATCAATTTCTCCGAAAATCGGAACAACCATGAACCAAGACGGATTCACTTTTTAAAGTTTTTAAGTGTTACAAAACTGCTAACCCTGATTGTTCCGACTTTTAATGAAAACGGAATATTTATTCTTGGGGTGGTTTTTTTATTCAGTCGACTTCAACCGATCGATAGAATAGTTTTTAACAAAAAAATTATACATCATTAAAAATATCGAATTCCTGATTTCAAATCTTAAATGATATTTTAACTCCGATTACTTTTGGTAAAATTTTGGGTGTTTGAAAATTGCCAACTTGGCCATGTTATAGAGTAAATTATGCACAATCTGAAGAATTATTCACTATGCTGAGAGCGTAACGCAAAATACTTATGCGTGACGAATTAACCCGCACAACATAATCGCTCCAGATTGATTTGAGGTTAGATATTATGTCATAATAATTTCGTACGACTCCTTTTCGATCTTTGATATTGTCGAAAATTTTTATAGATTTCCAAAAGTTCTCTCAGTTTTCCATATTTGTGAAAACTATTTGATATGGATGAGGAATAGTCGGAAAATTCACGTCTTTGAGCAGTCCCATTCTTTTATTTAGATTGGCCTGAAATAGTTTAGGCTTATTGACGGCCTAATTAGTTCCGGTTTTTAATTATGATCAACATAGTTACCTAATTTTGCGTTGTTTCAAAACTTATATAAGTTCTAAGCCATCCTTATCCCTCCTCGGGAAACACACAAAAAAAAACGTTTAACTTTTGGAAATTCATAGTTTTATAGCTCAAAATATAGCTCAAGATACCAAATTAGTTAGCACCACTCTTTTCAAGAAATTTTGTTTTCGCTCAAAGGGAATTTACTCAAATTTTATCAATTTAGTTGTCGCGCGATCAAGATTTCACGCCGACGGTTGTTTTTTTTGGGCATGTTTTCCTCAAAACATGCCCAAAAAACAATGCCCAATAAAAAAATTGTTTTAATTGTGCCTTTTTTAAAAAATTTTCATTTTTTTGAATTGTTGGTTTGATATTCTTTTTTTGCAAGCTTGCAATGCTATCTATGTGTAAGTGATAGCTTGTTAAACATGCACCTCAAAATTTTATCGCAAAGGCAAGCTAACTAATTTCTTTACCGTTTGTTAAGCTTCGCCACATTTAAAGTAACCAGTGCCAAGTAGATTGGTGCTAAGTTGGATTTAAATCACGAACTGATCATAAAAAAGCTATAGATATAGGGTTGAGTAAAATTGGCTCGACTTATTTTTCAACAAAACTGCGGACAAGATACCAAGTCTAAGGGTGCATGTTGACAAATTTTACTAACTCAAAATGTAATTAATATATTAAGATACATTAGACTTTTAAGGGTAGCAGTCTGTTTTGGATTAGGGCTACAAAGATCGGTCGAGTGGTGCTAACTAATTTGTAAATTAATCAAAATGAATCGAAAAATCAATCCCGCGATATGAGAAAATTTGTGCAATAAGTGAAAAACTAAATCTAAAAAATGCACTCTTTTCAAGAAATAATAGAAGGGTCACCCTTACAACGATATTTTCTTTTGGATTGAAAAATGAAGTTTCTTTCTTTAAGGGTGAACCTTGTATGAACGATCCCGAATTCTCGAATTTCAACTCACAGACAGTTTCTGTTGTTTCCTCGTGTCCATACATGGTGTCTGTGTACATCACAATCTGGCCTAGATCAGATTGTAGTTTGAGCACCCCCCTGACCGACTTGACCTTGATGATGAATTGTCCCCCAATCACTGGATAGAACATGCCAGTGGTGCTAGTCCACTCTTGGACTGTGCCTTGGCTGCTGGACGTGTAGGCGGAGGGACGTCCCATGATTGCAGGCTGTTTCCGCACTCGACACTTTGTCTTCCACTTTTGACTACCGAAGGAGAATTTGACCTGGTAAAAAATAATTAGATTAGATTTACAGCACCCATGTTTGTTCATCCTTTCAGTTAGTATTTCATTAAATAGTGTGTTCAACTTGAAAATTCCAAGTTCAATTGAATCAAAATACTCCTCTAAAAACCCTCAACCTGGGAAACATGAAAAATGCTGCAGAACTTTTAAAAACTGGTTTTCCGTTTTCTATAGAAAAGTGGCCTGAAAATAATCTTAGTTTTCAACTCGGCTCGAGATCGTGCAACTTAAGATATAGATAGCTGAAAACAATAGGAAAGTCAGAATCAATTACGAAGAGCAACTGTCAATAATGCATCAACGGAGATTAAAACTGAAACAACTTAGAGTCAAAAACCTACATAGCGAAACTTTTAGCAGAAAATCTGTACCCACAACGCGTACTCACATTTTCCAATCAGTCGGAATCATCTATTGTTAGGTTTTTAGCAAACTCCCTGGGCCTTGAGAGCCAGAAAGGCCGTTTTTTTTTCTGAGTGGCTTTGTCTTTAGGAGTTTATTGTGGTTCTGTGCCAATATTAATGGATTAATTCCCGCGCTATTTGGAGAACAGGAATAATGTTTTATCATAAAAAGTTTTTTGATTACATTGTGGTAAATGTCAGTGGCTGGCAAAAACTACGAAATTATTTGATTGTTCTTTTTAGTTTATTCTGTCTATCAAATGATTCTTATTGACATAAGACCAACGCTGATAAACTTTGACAGTTTCAGTCAATTGCAACCAAAACGCAAAAAAGACTTATGCGACCGAAACAAAACAAATAAGACAACAAAGCTGTCTGAGTTTCCCTAAATTCCTCTCTTATTTTCGGCATCCCTAAAGTCTCTGTTATACTGCTCAGGCAGTAACCTTAGAGCTTTATACTCATGTAGCATATGTCACAGTACCTTATTACATTTATGGGCTAAGGTCATTGACGCGAATTGCTTAATGCGGATGATGCGATTGATACGATCAGTGTGCTTACGCTGTAGCTGAGACATAGAAAATAAAGGTAGTTAGATAAGATGCTCAAAAAACTTGAATTAACTATTTGAAAAACAGAGCCTTATCTTATCAACACCAACTGCGATCTTTATAGTGCCACATGATGCAGTCAGCTGGATTTGTACTGCAAGACAACCGGATGAACATAAGAAAATCAGTATTTTGATCTAGAGCAATTCAGACCCAACATGACAACTCAAAGTTTGATTGGATTAGTTTTTAATGGAAATTGTCTTAGAAGATCCAAAAAAAAAATTGGAGGAAACACCGCCCAGACCAAAAATCCCAAGAAACGGGGATGATGAAGTTGCATTAGTTGCCAGCGAGCTAAGAAACAAACTCGCATTAAATCTTTTTTGCCGGAAAATTAAAAACCAATGGCTGCTGGAGGGCCAAAAAAAGGACACAGTATCTATTAATTTGTGATCCAAAACGACATGTGTCAGAGTTACTTCTAGCGTTTAGGCAGAAGGAAAAAAAATTACGCAGAAAAACCCACAAACCGAAATAACGAATTTCTTGACATGGTTACCCTTGCATTTAAAAAAAGAAAAATTAAGAAAAACCAGACAGACTGTTTGATCAGGCACAAGCATAAAAGGAATCACTAGAAGCGTTTCATACAGCTCTAACTGCAGATGAAGGTAGAGAGAAAGTAGCCAGAGATTTTTCTTTTCGAAATTTAGAAAAGTGACTTTACAAAATATTCTGACATATGAAACGATATCTCCGGAAAAAATACTCAAAAAGTACTCAGAAATACGCAATAACCTTTGATTATAGTAAACAATCAACATTTTCGATTCAAAAACAAAAGCAAGGAGTGCTGGAGCAGCAAGCTCATCGTCAAATTCATTTGTGAAACAAATTATTCATGGAAACTAGGATATCAAATCTGAAGTACTGTCTGACCATGGGAAAGGCGTGCAATAATTGTAGTAAATCAAATTTTTTCGCAAAAACCTACAGATCCAAACAAATGGAAGGAATGGAAAAAAAATTTAAGGAGTCAGATGAGGAATATTATCTGGTCAACGATTTGGAGAGTTTGATTAGTAAGGATTTATATTGATCAAAACAGGAACTTGGTTGAAAACAAGTAACAAGAAACATAGCGATTTAAAAAGTAGATATATTAAAAGATCCAGAAATGAGCAAGAAGAAACCGCTAAAATCTTAGAGAGGACAGATCAACGGATCGTACGTATAATAGCCGATATGGGGAGCCCGGTGTTCTTCCTTGTGTGGGCGACAACAAAACAGATAATCGATTCGTCCAAGAAACCAAAAATCAATACGGTGGAAAAAATTTTCTACAAAACAATCAGAAAATATAGGGTCAAGCTCAAAATTTAAACACTCACTGTGCCCTATCGGAGAAAAAGGTAAGAGAATACTATTATTCAAACCCAACACAAAATTCAATTGAAAAAAGAATTAATTGAGGGAAGAATTTCAAATAAAAAACTAAGTAAACGCACCGATGATTGCTTTATTGCATCGAATGTGATAACACTAAAAAAGACAGTTGTGTCTCACAATGAGTGGTTCAGTCAACTTCCTCATAATTAGTGTTTTTTTAACGATCTGAACAGAGCCTTATCTGATCAAATTCAGCTGAGTTCCCTATAGTATCACAGTCAATTCTACTTTTTGTCTGTCCTAATGTCAAATCTATTTTATTGTGCTCCCTTACTGTCATATCTATTTTTCGAGCGTCCCCAATTTCATATTGATAGTTTGGACTTCCTCAATGTCGTACCTATTTTTCGCGCTTCGCTAATGTTATCTCTATTTTTTGGACTTTCCTAAGGTGGTTTCTATTTTTTGGGCTTCCCTAATGTCATATCTATGTTTGGTGAAAACTTAATTATTAGTTAAGTTTAAGTTTAAAATTAACTAATAATTAAGTTATAGTTTAATTTTATTTGATTCCTCGAATTTTATCTTAGATCATGTGCAGCTTTTTCCTTTCGCTTCAAGGCCCGCAACTTATGTCCAGGTTAAGAAAGTTGCTGACGTACTTAGGACCTTGATGCTACTTCAATAAAGATTCGACCCACTAAACGACAGAATGAAGACTTCAATGTGCGACTTAGCTCGCGAGCGAACACGAAACTAGGCCTGAAAGTGGCAATCAGCGCCTAATCCAAAATATTTTTATTCAAATCTCGCTTCTAAGTAACTTTTGGATTTTTTGGGTAATTTTCCTCAATCTCAACTGAGAGAGAAGAAAAAACGAAAAATATCCAATTGTATTTAAAATAGCAATAGATTTCATAAGTATGTGAAATATGGTCTGGCCTTGAATAGGTCCCCTGGCATAAGGAGAGTGCACCCGACCAGACTGTGTATTGTGATGCTCCACTTGCCCAGGTACTCCCTCTCTATTCTCGCCTCAATATCACCCATCTCCCCACCCAGCATTCCCAACTGGTCCACCCCATCCTTCCTTGCCTGGCGCCCATTCGAACCTGTATTTAAAGGTAGGGCACTCGTCAGTAAACTAGTTGTAGAGCTCAATAGAAACATGACTTTTTAATCAAACCTTCCAAAAACTTCTAACATTGGTACTTTGAACTCAATTTACAAAAAATATACATATTTTTTTTGAGTAAAAGGTGTTTTTTTAACTGTTTATAGGGAAGTGTGTAAAGAGATTATACCACTGGAGTTTTTGAGAGAGTCGATTGCCTTCTGGACTGCGACTCGCATCTCGGCCCTGTGTTTGTACTGCTCTTCCAGCTGTTCCAGACGCATCACGTGGTACTGCAGCTGCTTCATCCTCCTCTCGCTGCTCTTCAGATGTCTGGCAACCTTCTTCTGCTGGTCAGAGGCCACCGGACTCAACTCCAGCTGGGACGCCAGTCGTCGAATAACTCGCTCCTCATTCTGCTTAATCACCCTAACCAAAACATATCGCTTAATTCTTTAAAGACTCCGATCAAAACAACTTACTTAAAATCATCTAGTGTAAGCTCGCTTTATTTGATACCTGCGCAAGGAGATCTTAGTTGAGGAGTAAAAACATTCATAAGGTTACGCGTGAAGATAACGTTGGTTTGTACGAGAATATTTTCAAATCGCTTCAAATGGTTGCAAAAACCGTCCATAAATGAAACCGTTTGGTTTATGAAACATCAAAAATTTGCATGAAATTGACCTGAATAACTTTACAGAAAATTGTTCTATGGGAAAATTTTTATGAACAGCTGAAAACTTCATAGTGAAATTAAATATTTATTTGGCCATTACTGAGCGGTAAAAAACTTTTAGTACATTTTGATATAAGTTTAGTTGCAAGATAGCTGGTTGCAATTTTGGACCACGATTACTAATGTTTAAAAAATAGCGAAATAGTTCAAAAACATATTTAGCTCTAAGACTTTTGTGCTAGTAAAAATTTCCATCGCAAGGAGTTGTAAAACAAAAAAACTGAAATATTACAACCCACCTATTAAAATCAAGTGTCCTAAAATCATAATTTTAGGGTCAGTCAACCGGAAATGGATATCTCAAAATAGTGCAAAGGGACATCCATTTCCGTGCCTTTGGGTCGACAGGGGGTCAAATCGCTGAGGGAGGGAAGGGGCGTCCCCCCCCCCCCCCCCTAAATCCGCTGGTGCATGAAACCATTCACTTTACTTACGAAAGAGAGTCGAGTACCGCAATAAGTACAGCTCTGGTGGCACTTTCCCTGGTGCTGGTCTGGTCCTGTTTCTGGTTCTGACTCAGGTCTTTCCCTCTGGCTTCCAAGTTGCGCTGGCTGACTGTGAACTCACTGTCTAGTTGCTCTGTCGACTTCAGCAGGTTCTCATTGCTCATTGCACCCGCCTGACTGTAGAGTCCTCCTTTTTTCACCGCAGCATTATCTAAACAGGACTTGTGTTGCCCAGTTCTAGCAGTCACTCTTAAGCATTTGCAATAAGGGATTGAAACCGGTTAGAACGAGGAGTAGAAAGCTAGAATGATGAACTAATATCAGTTAACATCAGTCACCATGAAGAAGGAAAACGAATCTTAGAGACGAAGCGGGTGGAAACATTTGGGTTGCAACGATGGTTCACGCGAACCGAAATCACGGCATACTATTAGAAGTTACCAGAACGAAAAAAATATCGATTTAGAAAAGTTTGCCCGACTGTATCCAGGATGCAATTTTGCGCTATTCATGATGAGCATCAAGGAGTGGAAACCTATCAATGTGGATGAGAAAAAAAGACTTCTGACAGAATTCTTCTCAAAACGATTTTAAAAGCCACTTCAAGTTTCAATACGTATAACAGCGCAAATTTCTTCTAAAACCTTTCTTTTTCGGCTTAACGGGATTTTACCCAGGTTTTCGTTTCAATAATAAATTCGTAATTTTTTTCAGTGCCAATTTAACACTACTGTTTGTCTTTCTTGTTATTTTTTCGAAAAGTGAAATTCACTCAACACATTTCGAAACAAATTTATAAGAAAAATTTAATAAATATATAGTTTTTTCTAAGTTTTTAATCAATGGTTTAAATTAGGGGCGTTCTAAATTCTGCCAGCTAGTTTAACATATGCTATGTGTATGCTGATTATTGCTATGTAACTTAATTTTTTGAGCTAAGTATAGCAAATGACGCGAAATTTCGCTTCGCCGCTGTGTGACATCACTGAAATGCTGTGCTTATTTGAGAACAGAATCTGTGAACCCACAAAAGTTAGCGAAGAAATAAAAAAGCCACTGTTCAAAATTGTGCGACAAAAGTATTGGTTTGCAATTCAGATAGCACCGAATGCCCGGCCTTAGCTTTTTGGTTAGCTGCTTGAAGCAGTAGCGTATCTATGATTTTCTCAAAAAGGGATTTAAAAAATATTTTAGAAAACGTTGGACCTAGTATTAGGTTGACCAAAGTAGTTTTTCGAGCTCCCTCAAAACACAAAAAAGAGCATTTTTTGATAAAATATCTGCACCGCAAGCTAACTTTTGTAAAAACAGACCAAAACAAACAACAGGCCCGTCAGAAAAGGACCGTTTTTGGTAACTTTTTGTGAAATTTTGGCTAAAAAAGTGTTTTTTTTTAAATTTAAAGTTAGTATATATAGGCATGAAAGGCGCATGTAGAAAAATTTCAGTGTTGTAAACCAAAAACGTATGTGGTATAAAAATACCGAAAACGGAACCCTTTGGGTGGCGAGGGGTTGGCTAAACCGATTAGACGAAACACAGGTACGCACCCACAAATTTAACCGAGTTTTGACCGAGTATAATTAAGACACCATTAATGTGCAGCGAGTAAAATTAAGACAACATTAAGTTATTTGTTCTTTTTTCAGATTTGTAGTTCCGACTATTTTTTTTTTTTTTTCAGATTTGTAGTTCCGACTATTTAAAAAATGGTCGACCGTTTTAAAAAACTTTGTACTAGGGTGTGTTTTAGTTTTTTGTTTTATTGTTTCTCCCATACTCACCTTCCAAAATTAATCAGTGGAGTGAGTTGAGCGCTTTATAATTTAAAGTCTTTTCAGTCGTGATTCGAACAACATCAACAATTTTCCGAGAAAAACCGATTTGAAATTTTTTCGTCAAACTTCGAGCGAGTAAATTGAGCGAGAAGGCTTACAATAGTTTATTTTAGCAGCTTAAAAGCTTACCAAAACTCAAATAAATCCGTAAAATTCAGTTTTACTGAAGTAAAGTCCATTTTTTGAATATTTTAGCGCGTTTTTGGAATCAAACAATTCAAAAGTTGAAAAAAACACTGCAAAACAGTTTGAAAATTTTTTTTTGGAAATTGCTTATTTTACTACTAAACTCGAATATTCTTCAGTGCTAATTTTTTTTTCAGATGTCTTAACACACCACGCAGAAAAAACGACTCTAATTTGAAATAACTTTTTTGTTGTAGTTTTCTAAGACTATGGTCGGAACAATCTGTGCTTCTTGTAGAGTAACCGATTTTCTTTCTTTTTGTTTTGCTGTTTATTTTCCTTCTTCGCGGCCAATTGTGAGTGCTAAAGGTTGTAATTTGAGTCTTCTGAGAAAATAATGAGAATTATTGATTTCCTGGATCAACCGAGCAATTTCTCCCCTCAATCGATTTAGTGAAGATGAAGTACTGATTTTTCAAAAACCTACTTGAAGTATAGCCTGAATTGATTAAATTATGAGTTATATTGTAGTTTTTTTGGAAGCGTTAATTGGGTGGTTAACATCAACACCAATTATTAATAATTCATCAGCCTGATTAGTTGGCTGTCCACTGTCATAGTGATTAAATTAGTTCACAGTTTGATTTCAGTTTCATTCTAAGTTGTTGCAATCTAGTTATTCTATCTGTCTGGCGCTAACTGGTATTTAACCTTCGGAGTTGCTTGTCACCTTCGGATGACCGCTATTTCACTGTCTCCGACTAACTTTCTACATTACGGTTCTTAAATTTAACGGATTAATTTACTTATCGAAACCGTCTTTTCACATGGCGCAGCCAACAGGTCAAAGTGGGGGAAAAACCCACTGGGGATTACGTCATTTTGGCCCTCTACGGTCACAGAGCAACCAATTCTATGGGAGTTTTGGTTTAACCGGTTTCAATGGGGGATGGTGGCCAAATATAGTATCAATCCGAGAAATTTTTAATTCGCCAGCACACTTACAATAGCTCAAGTTACGGCTCTACCGGAGGAGGTAGATGGGAAAGATCTTCTGGTGTCTGAGCAAACATCGATATCAAACTTGTACCTGTGCCTGGGGGCAAAGGAAGAGTTCCACAGAAGAAGACCACTCTTGGATCTCTCTACAACATGGTACGCTAGAGTTATCGATGCCCTAGAAACTGAGTTCAAGAAAGAACGCAACAAAACCTATGAAACATTCCAGTTATTGGCAAGGAAATAAAAAATTGGAGAATCCTTGGAGCAGTTCGGTTTTAAGTGGAGTAGCAGCACGGTGCAATTTTGGAGCTATGGAGACCGGAATCTTAAGGGACGTGTTCATTGTAAACATGAATATTAGAGAGGCACACAACGAACTATGTCGATCAACAAAGACACCAGAGGAGGTGTATCGGGTCGCGCTCTCATACGAACGTGGATACAAGTACGCTAAGACATATGGATCGACAACCGGGGTAGCATCAACTAGCGGCACCACCGGTGGAGTTGGAGCTTTCCAAATCAAAACAGAGCCGGTGGGGACAATCCGAGGGGGATATCGGAACAGCAGACAGCGCGACCGTGGATCGTTCAGGGGACGAGCGGATATGAGAGGGGGAGCATCTAAAAAGTGCTATAACTGTGATCAACCCAACTTTACTCCGGAACATCTGCAAGATGCCCGGCTAGAAGCGCGACGTGTAATTTTTCCGGAAGACCGGACACTACGAGAAAACCTGTCGGGGAAAGCGTACTAATCGAGGGAGACCGGCGGTGGGATTGATTCAGAACCAGGAGGACGTGGACGTTAGCGAAATAGGCGACGCTGAGGATGTCTACCAAAACTCAAATAAATCCGTAAAATTCAGTTTTACTGAAGTAAAGTCCATTTTTTGAATATTTTAGTGCGTTTTTGGAATCAAACAATTCAAAAATTGAAAAAAAAAGACTGCAAAACAGTTTGAAAATTTTTTTTGGAAATTGCTTATTTTACTACTAAACTCGAATATTCTTCAGTGCTAATTTTTTTTTCAGATGTCTTAACACACCACGCAGAAAAAACGACTCTAATTTGAAATAACTTTTTTGTTGTAGTTTTCTAAGACTATGGTCGGAACAATCTGTGCTTCTTGTAGAGTAACCGATTTTCTTTCTTTTTGTTTTGCTGTTTCAGGGACTACGGGAACATTCCGTTACGGCTGTTAGGAACGATGGACGTGTTACTTGAGACAAACGGATGGGCAACTGAAGCTAGAATCAAGGTGATTGGAGGAAACATACCGTCGATCATTGGAAGGGACCTGATGCCAAATCTGGGATTACAACTAGTGCAACGAACACCGGAGCAGAAGGTGATATCAGTTCAAGGAGAACAACCGGGGGCTGAAACTTCGAGCAAGGATGACTCATTAGACCCGTGGCAGACTTATTTCAGTAAACAATTTAATAACCTTTTTCATAGAGTCGGTAAAATTAAGAATTACAGGGTACAAGCGGAATTTTTCGAAACGTTAACACCAATTCAACAAAAAGGACGGAGTGTACCGATAACACTAAAGGACAAAAGCGATAAATAAATTAGTAAATTTTGCAACAAGGGCATATCGAAAAACTGGAAGAATGTTCGGACAAATATTTTGTCTCGCCAATTGTAATCACAGTGAAGAAAGATGGGTCAGTAAAATTATCATTAGAGTCAAAGGAGTTAAATAAACAGGTCCACAAGAACAAATATCAAATGCCCAATATCGAAGAGCTCATGGATACCGTAGGACAAACGATTAGTGAACGGAAAACGGGGGATGTATATTTTTCTACGATGGATCTTACATGCGCTGATGGCCAGCTACCACTTAGTCCAAAAACGAGTGTTCAATGCAATTTTTTGTTAGTGGGGGTTAATTCAACGGGTACGTATCGGTTTTTAACGGGTTTTTACGGCCTCAGAACCATGCCGGCGGAATTCCAGAGAGTAATGGAAGCAATTTTATCGGAATTTCCACAGGCACACGCATTCATAGATGATATCCTGGTTGTCACGAAGGGCACCGAAATTAAACATATCTCGGCGGTCGAGAAAATCTAACGGAAATTGGATAGGGAAAACATGTCGCTCAAGCTTACTAAATGCCAGTTTGCACGGAAAGAATGTGAGTGGTTGGGGCATAAAATAACTTGCACCGGAATTACACCGTTAATCCGAAAAACGGAACCAATCGAGTCCTTACAAGCCCCTAAAACAGTC